GAGAATTTACAAAATATTTAGTAGCTGTAGGTATCATTTATGAAATTATATTTTGGTAATGGAAATATGGAAATGCTGACAGCGATTTTATATATTTTTTTCTTTAAAAATTTCATAATAAGGTAGAAGTATATGATTGGACACTCATAGTTTAAAATTAATATTCATGCACATGGTCCGATAGTGAATATTTGGTAAATCATCACTACCAAACCAAAAATATATACCTATCAAAGAAACAGGACTGTATGTGTACACACACACATACATACATATATACCTTTCGTTATGTTTTGGTCTCCAACATTCCAAAGGGCAAAAAAAGCATTATCAAAGAAGTAATAGTTATTGTGTCTTATCAATTTAAAATTATTGCATTAACGATTTAAACTCATTGCATTGACAAACGACAAAAAATGGAACAGGAGAGGATGGCGTGTGTGAGACCGTACTTAGATGAGAAAGAGTACCTTTCTTTATGTTTTGGTCCCCAACGTTCCATGTTTTGAGCACAACCATGCAAGCAAGAGTTGCAGGAAGAGTATCAATGGTGTATTGATCCTCTCCCCAGAACCCTAGCTTCGTCTCTTTGGTTGTCGAGACCCCAATCCAAGCAACCCTTGAACATGGGACAATCATGGCTAACAATGCAGTACCGTCATAAGCTGAAGGACAAACAAATGAATAAACATCAATAGAATTAGTACTACTACTAGTAGAGAACACCTCTTCTTTGATCTCATTAACTAGGGTTTGAAGTGAGGTTGGTACAGAGGATCCATGGAAACAAAACCAAGGTTTTATATATATAACACAATTTCTTTATGCGTAGATGGGACAATGTGTTGTTTTTTGGAAAAATTACATATAAATGGAGTTAAAGTTCCATATTTACTTAGAGACTGAGTCAAAGTTCCATATTTCTCTAAAATGGATTGCTGAGGTGGCACATGGTTTTTTACTGTTTAGAAAATTGTGGTGCCTAAAATGCCCTTCCCTAACAAAAAAGTAGTACCTTCGAAGAAAAAGTAGTACCTTCGCAGAAGGGTATTTTAGGCACTACAATTTCTAAACAGTAAAAAACCATGTGCCACCTCAGCAATCTATTTTAGAGAAATATGAAACTTTGACTCAGCCTCTAAGTAAATATGAAACTTTGACTCCATTTATATGTAATTTTCCCTTCTTTTTTTTACGTTGAATGGGTACAACTGAGCTACATCTAGCTGTTACAAGGTCAACAACCAATGTGTTGTTGTTCCCACCTTTGTGGAGCCAAAATATGTTCAATGTACATTTTTGATGATTTGACGGAGTCGTAGACTTGTACATAGTTCCTGTAGTATTATTGATTCTGACGATAATCAATGTTTGGTTCGACTTTAACACATGAACAAATAATTATTGCCAATACTCTCCCTACCTACCATCGTGTGCTGTTTAAGATTATTCTTCATGCCTCCATATTTATGCGCCGAAATCAATGGCAGAATAGGATACAAGCAACCAATGGACAAAACCAGCTAGGTCTAAAATGTCCTAATAAATGGACTCAGCATCCAGAGAGAGGGCCCAAAACCCATCCCAGTGGGAGGTCTGACCTATCATCATAAGCTGATGGTCTGGGCTTTGTTTAAGGTTTAGAGGCCTTACTCACCAACAGATTGGCCTGATAATACCCAAAAAACAAAAAAACAAAAAAAAAAAAAGTCCAGCCATTTCTGAATGTCATAAATACATATATATTTATATAATCCAAAATCAATAATTTCATCTGGAGAAGTATAAATACAATGTAGAAAACCAAATAAGAGAGGAAACAATAAAAAAATTCAGTTTCACGGATGTATGCACCAAAGATTAGTGCCTATCATTTAACATTAGCACCACAATACTATGGATTGAATGGAGCACCAAAAATGAAGTCGAGCAAAAATCATTTATCGCTGACATAATCATTTGCGAAGCCCAAAAAAAAAAAAAACCCCGGATAAGTTGCATTTATTGACAATTATCAATGATGTTCAAATGAATATGTTTTCCATGATATTTGTGGTCACAACTTTTTTACCAATTAGTATAACGTTCTATTTGAATGAACATTATTAACTTATTATCATGAAAAACATCAATAGCTTTGCTTGAATTAGTAAGGGAAAAAGTAAAATTTCTGTTTTATTTAAAATATACAATGTGTTGGATATATAATGTCTTTTTTAAATTTATTATTATATTTTATAAAGTATGGGAGGAAATTAATAAAAAATGACAATATTTGCATCCAATTCAGGTTGGATGAAGTTTGTCCAATTTAGGTACGTGACTTAATAAGGGTATGACAACCTTCAACCCTATTTAAATGGGTTTGACCTGGCAGGACACTGTTTTTATTTTTATTTTTTTGTTTTGCTTTCAGAAGATCGCTCCCTTTGCTATTCCTCCAGTAGCACTAGTTTTTTCATTTTGCCTTCTTTCTCTCGCGACGAAGATGGCTTTCTCCTTTTGTCCTATATCTCTTGAAAGATGATGATGACCTAGTATTTTTATTACTGTATTCGACATCAGATTGAAACCTTTGCTCTCACTCTCATTTGGTTCAATTTTTGTATTCGACATCAAATCGAAGCCCTCTGGTCTCACTCCCATTCGTTCAATTTCTGTATTCGACGTCAGATTGAAGCCCCGGGTCTTTCTTTCTCTCTATATCTAGCTCGTTATATATATGTATATATATATATATATATATATACACACAGAGTTTGATATATATATATATATATACACAATTTGTAGTTCTTCGTTTATATATACTATTTCACTACTCGCAATTTGAAAGAGTATGTATGAATGGCTTGTTGTCAGTAGAGATATTTTCAAAAGGAAATAAATATCCCTGCACATCTTTAACGCTGAAATGAAATTACAATTGGATAAAAGGCAAGGGTATAAAAAGGGGTGGAGAGAGCACAAGGGAGTGATCTTCTGGAAGCAAAGCAAAAAAACAAGTGTTCTGCGGAAACATTTTCAGCTTCAATGTAACATCACAGATTTTATTTTTATTCAATTTATTACCATTTTTATACCTATTAAAGTAATTTATTACAATTAGATTCTTTCCAAACGTAATGTACAATAAAAGGCAAGTGCACAAAAATGGCTGGAGAGAGCGCAAGGGGAGTGATCTTCTGAAAGCAAAGCAAAAAACAATTGTTCCACCCAAAAAAATAATTGTTCTGTCAAGTCAAACCCATTTAAATTGGGTATTACCCAACTTAAATTAAATAGTGCTGAAAGACACATGTCGTGCCTTTATTGGGCCACGTACCCAAGTTGGACAAACTTCATCCAACTTGGATTGGATGCAAATATTGTCCAATAAAAAAAACATCAATTTGCACATTTTACAGCCGAAAGATAAAAACCGTTTTGTACATATGTATACTAAAAATGTATGTAGGTGTAAACTGTTGGATTTTTTGTTTACGATAATCAGCTCTTTTTTTAGACAAATCTCAAATGTATTTAATGGTATTTGAAATTAGGCATTTTTACTAATTTTTGAAGATAGAAAACATTTATCAAATTGACGCAGAGAGAGAGGACTAAATCTTTCAAACTGCTTAGAATAATATTAGTCAAACTGGTTAGAGGATTTTTAACCTTAAAACTACACTTTATTTATATGATAACTCAAACCGGCTACATTTAATGTTTCCACGAGATCTCAAACGATTAAAAAAAAAAAATTTCTTGAACGATGATGTTCAAACTAAAAAAAATAAAAATTCAAACTGCTTAGAGGGCTCTTTAACCTTAAATTGCGCCTACTTTGTTTTTATGACAACTCAAACCAGCTCCACTTATTGTTACTATTTATACTTTTAACTCAAACCAGCCTTGGAAAGTGAGAAAATATTATTAAGTTGTAGCTTTTGGTTTTTTTTATTTTTTTTGTTATCCGAGATATATATATATATATATATATATAGATAAATATAAATGTAAAGTGCATAAACGAAAATGTTCAAAATTGATTTTTCCTCCTATATTTGAAGGACTCTGTGTTCCTTAAAAGCATCTGCATCTGTCTTTTCGAATTTTGGCTCTAAAAAAAATACCACTTTAACTTTTTCAAGAGCTACTTCAACAATTTTCAAAACCACTTCAGCAATTCCCAAAATCACGTCAACAGCTTTGGCTATTCAAAAACAGGCACTCCATCAAGCTTTCCGGATTTTCTCTTTAAAAAAAAAAATTTTAATTTTTGATTGTGTGTTATAATAATATGAATATGGATGATTCATGGAACTAGATTGGTTTTGAAAATAATAGTTAAGATTAAGAAAATAGAAGATAAGAAAGATGAGTTAGAAATGAGGTGAATGGTGGTAGGAGTTGGGGTATTTATAGAAGAGAAATGAATGTTTAAATTTTTTTTTTAATTTTAATTTTTTAAAATAAAAATTAACAAAATTAATTTTTTGAAACTTTTTTTAAAAAAATTATAACCGTTAAAGGCACCATTTAGTGCTTAACGGCCATAAGCGCAGGTTGTGGCATAATTTAATAAAATAAAACAAATTTAAAAAAAAAAAATCAAATTTTAAAAGAATAAATAAAAAAAAAAAGTTTTTTAATTTATTTTTGATCAAAATCAAAATTATTTTTTGAACAACCAATATATTTTTTATTTAATGAATTTTATTTATTTTATTTTATTATTTTTTTAAAAGTTGAAATAAGTTGACGCCAACACAGTGTCGTTTTGGAAGAGAATAAAAACAAAAAAAAAAAAAAAAAAATCCCCATCGGGCTAGCCATCGCGCTTTTGCGCGAGTCAGCCCGCTAGCGGTTCGTCCAATTATCGGTCGCCTGCTGCGGTGCATTTGGGCCTCCGTACCGCCAAAATTGGGTTTGGCTAGCACGTGTGCATAATTAAATAAATAAAATAATAATAATAGAAATAAAGAAAATCTCAGACCCCACTTCAATAGACTAGAAACACTATCAGGCAATCACAACCCAGCGGCAAAAACAAGCTGAGAAGTCAGCGAGTACGCACTTCAATGCGCAGCGATTGAGTTCCGAGTCTCACAGCTCTAAAGCAAGTGTATAGTGTGCATCTCTCTGTATATATAGAGAGAGAAAATAGAGAGAGAGGTATCTCGAGACGAGTTCGAATGGGTGCCATTGCGGGAATTCTGCTGGACAGCTCAGTTCTGTTGGCCTCCGATGACGACTCAAATGGGAATGCTTCTCTCCGACCTGGAGCCGGTTATCTTCTTCGCAGGCTTCACTATTCTAAAATCCACACGGTATTACTGTTTTCTTCATTTAGTCTCTCTATATATATTTGTGTATCTATATGTTAGGAATTATTATTTAGTTGATTTAGATAATATGTTATTTCCTTATTTTCTTATATAAGAATATGTCAATGAATGAATGAGAAGTTAAAAATATTTGGTGGGTAATCCCAATTCAAAGGATTGTTGGTGGCTGATCTACAATCAACTTAGGTTCCAGAACCCTATCACTATATCTATATATAATTTGCTGAGTCTATATTTGTTTCTTCTTTGTGGAATATATTTAATTAGGCAGTTCCCCCTTTTAATTGATTTTATATGTTGGGATTTGTGGTTCTGTTGTTGGTAGTTTACATGCATTTAAGGATGATGGTCATGATGATGGTAATGGTTGGTATATGATCACTTTTTCTGGTGTTTGGTTGGTGTAGAACTTATAGAGGAAAAGAGGCATTTTGCGATGTATCATTCCTTAACATAAATGGAGTATTTGGTAATGGAAGATTGTTTATACCACACCAGTTTTTTTTTTTTTGTAAAATCTTCAACACCAACAATGGTGTATGAAAATGAGTTGGGTACTGGCACTGGTGATTGTTTATACCACACCAGTTTTCTTATAAAATCTTCACCACCAGCAATGGTGTTTGAAAATGATTTGGGTACTGACACTGGTGATTTTAATAGTTTATTTTATTTATTGAAATATGATTGCTGGTTGTGCCTGGATCAAATTTGATATGAAAACTTTGAATGATAAAGCTTTACATGCTGGGGCTTGTTCTCGATTGATCATTTTTTGTGGGATTGAAACCGAGAAAGTTTAGAGTTGTGGTTCTAAGCTATGATGGGAAGCTGATAGCTTACCAAATTAACTTAAAAGTTTCGAATTTGATGACATTGTGCAAAAGCAGGGATAACGAATTTGCTGTTGTGAAGTCTTCATTATTCAGTGCATGAAGCATTTATACACATTGTTGATGGATAACAGAATTGTACTATCAACATGAAAGACTTACCAAATGTGTTGTTTACAATCGTTTGTTATTTTAGCTAAAGAGAAAATGATTTTTGTGACTAAATAGGGAAGACCTAAACCAACTAAACCACATCCATTGGATGCATATATGTGTACCCTACATAAATGCAACCAATGGTTGTGGTTTAGTTGGCTTGGATGCTGACCCCATTTACTCTTATATTATTGGTTTAACATGACTGTAAATTTTTTACCAGGCCTCTATCTAGTTTAGACAGTGAGCTATGACTTCAGTTTTTAAATTTGTCAAGAGATTACAGAGCATGGCAACAAAGGATATTCCAAATCAAGCTAACCTTTACATCCAAGAGATTTAATGTATGCATTGTCAGAGTCCATTACTTTAATGGATATTGCAAAGCTCATTAATTGCTTTTGGAGGAATTGCAGGAGTGTGGAGCAGTATGTGTTTGGATGGATATCATTTACCAAGCATGGTCAAAGTGATTGGTAAAATATTGGGCAATTTGATATATAATATGGTTGGAAACAATCCATAGTTTAAGGAGCTGTGTTTTGTTAGGTTGAATTTGCTTTATATTTAACCTAATTAAAATAAACATGCTTTAGTTCAATTGTACCTTCTGGTGCAACTCCACTAAGATTTTTAATAGTTGAACTTCAGTGACACTATGACTTAGCACCCATTTTGAATCTAGGAAAGATCACAACGGTTGCAGCTCGGGCTAATGTCTTTAGTTTGTCAAAAAGTAAGGCTGGCTATTCCAATTTCCTCCTCACCCTCTCAGCCTCACCCAAATAATAATAATAATAAGAAAAACAACAACAATATTAAAGCATTATAAAATGGTGTCTGTCAAATAGCATTGGAAGCAGTTTTGATGGTCATCAGTCCCTAGGAGGAAAAAGGAAAAGTTCATATAGGCCCCTTTAGTGAATTGTGGCAGCAGCCACTGATGCCACATGATAGAGGACTACTTTTGTATGGTTGACAACATTAATTTGCTTAAATCGGATGTGCTTGAATTTTCTTTGGAAAGTGGAAAGATGAGCTTGGATTTTCTTTCATGTGGGGGAAAAAGGGCAGATGCAAGCTTGATTACCATTTAATTTCTATTGCAAGATCAATTGCATGGCTGCCCAACTAGGCTCCACCAGTGATTAACCCTTGAAAGTCATGTGCTAGTTATGTACTAAGGTGATTCTATTTTTTTTCTACTCTTCCAGTATAAAAAAAAATAGAATCAAAGTATAACACATGCTTTTGGGTTTTGGTCTGATTTCCTTAGTGTTTTTACGGGGTAATCTTTTTTATTAACAAATAACAAACGGCATGAATTGAACGCTACCCTTACTCACCTATAGGATGCCATGCCAACACTTATATTATTTTGAGACAACGATTTTGTTCTTTCACTAAGAGTTTCCGTAGAGTAATCTTTCAATTGTACTACCCTCTTCTCGAACTAGAAGTTTTAACCTTGTCTGCTGCAGCTCCAAGGGGGAAGTGTTTCTACTTCATGTGCTATACTTTTATCCTTGTCTCTTTCCTCTTCAGCATCTAACCGACTTAGTGAAAGGGGAGGGTTTCTACTTCGTGTGCCGTATGTTTATCCTCACTTTCTTTTCTCTTCAGCATCTAGCTGGTATTCTATGCCAGTCTACTTTTTCAAACCAACTTGGTGAAACAACTCATGAATTGGACAATTGTCCAATCAAACTTAAATTATTTTTTTCTCCAGTTTTTGTCACATTTTCTTGGAATCTTTTATTGGAAACGTTTCTCAAGTCTCACAATTTATTGGAAACTTTTTTTTAATCTCCATGTGAAGCTAGGGCAGGTGTGTCAAGTGCATTCCATAATTTTAATAATCTATTAGATGTTGCCCATTACTAAGAAATAATATTCTTCATAGGTTTGTGTTTCTTGGTGTAAGTACTTTTGATGTGTATTGAAAACGTTTATGTCTCAGGCTTCGAATTCATAATCGATTGCTAGTACATTTTTGTTCTCAAACTTCTTTGACTGTGCTGAAAAATCATGCCGCTTGATACCTAAGGCCTTTGAACTCCATTACTAGTTGGAATAGAATGGAAGGGTAATATATATATAATATGCATACATATTCACAAAGAAAGGTAGGTTTGTGACTACTTGATGTTTGGATGTCTTTGATTTCAAAACTGTTTAATTTTCTGTAACACTTTAATAGTTTCATTTTCTAACCCATAACAAACAAAGTTTAATTGAGAATACAAACAACCCCGCAATATTAAAATTTGTTTCATGTTCTGATTCCCTTCAAAGGATCGCCTATTTCTTTCCCACCACAATCCCCACCATATACAAAGGGGAGTCACTGCTTGCGAGCCGATTGTACACCCATTCTAAGCCTCGAACATGCTTATCATGGAATCGTGTGAGAGTGTGAGACCCATCTAACTCCAAAAAGGGAAAGGAATTTGCCCCACACATCGCTAGCCACCTCACAATGAAGCAACCGACTCTGCATTCCTTTTGCACATGCAACACCAATTCCCCACAATTTGGTGCCTCTTCCTAAGGTTATTGGCTGTCAATATTTTCTCCAAAACAACCGTCCATCCAAAGAAGGTTACCTTGAGAGGAGCTTTGGTGCACCGCATTGCCCTCCAAAGGGATAGCCGGCCTCTAAACATTCAAAAGCCTCCAATAGAAGGATTTCACCTCACTCAAACCTGCCTCGCCTAGAATTAGTCCACACCACTTATCCACTCACGCCCCCAACATCCTCTAATGATATATTAATGTTAGGAACTCAACCACGTCCTCCACACCATGGATCGAGCCAAAACTTGATTAGTCTCCTAGATCTCACCCTGAACCAGATGCATTTTGAAAATTCATTCCACCCTCTTTGAATAAATTTCAAAACTCCTACACCACGGGCTATTCACCTCTCTCAAACTCCAACCTGCCCAAATTTACTCTAGATAACCCTCCTCCAAATCCTATCCCTCTCTTCCCCAAACCACCAAAGCCACTCCCCTCTCAACGCCTTGTTGATCACTATGTTACTTGGACTCGGTATGGATATGTCCGCGCGTCAAATGTGTCAAATTTCCAAATAGGATACATGGGCCATGCTAAATATTCATGTTATTTAATATTTTATTATTATCTTTTAGAGTAAAATAATGTCTTTGTATAACGAAGTGTTTAGTGGAGGCATTTCACTTGCTTTAAGTCAATAATATAATAAAATTGAATTACTAAATGTGTTTTTAGGTGCATGCTTAACCAAAAGTGTCGGACACATATTGCATACCCATGTCCGGGTGTTGTGTGTCCGACACGGGTACTTTACTTACTTTTGAAGAGTCCATGTAACATTAGTTAAATGTGCCAAGCCTCTTAATCCTCCACCCCTCCAAGCTGTAATGGTCTACAAACTTCTTCCCACCTCACTAAATGATACTTAAACTCATCTCCCATCCCACCCCAAAGGAAGTTCCTCGGCAACCGATCAATGCTTTTCTCTGCAGCGGCAGGCATTTGGAGCATAGATAAAAAGTAAGAAGGTTTGAAAACCTTAATTTTGATTAAGGTTACACTACCGTCCTTTGATAAATATTGCTTCTTCCACCCTGCAAGTCTTTTCTTGAACTGCTCCACCACTAGCTTCCAAAATGAGAGACATCTTGACGATGAACCCAAAGGCATATCCAAATACGTCAACGCCAACCTAGAATACTAGCCAAAGAAACTATATCCCCATTCCCCAACCTCTCCTGCCAGCACGATCTCACTCTTCCCTAGGTTTATCCTCAAACTGGATACTGCCTGAAAACATACCAGAACACCCCTCAGTTAATGCAACTGCTCCTCCTCTGCCTAGCAGAACACTACTCACAAAAAGTAGATGTGAAATCTCCAACAGAACAGAGGGGTCCCTGCCTACCCTAAAAATTCTGATGAAACCCAGCTTCACTGCCCTCACCATCAGCCTGCTAAAAGCTTCCATGACCATGCTAAAACCCTGTATCATGTTTGCATATGATAGTATGACGATTGTATGAAATGTATATACACTCACTTCCGAGTAGACATGGATATCTTACTTAGCCTCATTTCTGTTTTGTGTTTATTATATTCTATTACTGACATGTATACTTCAATTTTCTGCAGGGAATAGCTTATGGACTGGGTCTTTCAGCTCATAAGGTGATTTTCGTACTGTGCTGCTATTAGTATATGGACTATTCTTGTATGAAAATAATATCTTATGAAGTAATTTTTATTTTAGAATCAAATAACTTTAAATTTTCTCTCTTTTGACAATAAATTATATAATGCATTTAAATTAGACCTAACATTAATAAATTACCTTTCTAATCTAAAGAATTCTTAATTCTGCCATTGCATATATAAACTCCACTAGTGTTCTGATTCTCATATACTTCACTAGATTCCCTTTCAGCCAGCATCTCTCACCCTCCACCCAACCTCCCCTTTCTTTCTCAAAATTCAACATCTTAATGTTGTCTACAGGCTCTACACACAAAAAACTTTACCCCCTCTGTTATCGCCATTTCTGGAGTTTGTTATCATTATTATAGTTAAAGTTTGGACCTTAATTTTCATTTATCTTTATGATATGTGGAATGAGAATCTCTCTCTCAGATCTGTGGGTTATCAAAATTTCGGTGGTCTTATAAATTGTGAAGCATGTACTGGAACTTCTTACTCTCATATATGTTGGTCTTTGGTTGGCTGGCTTGTAAGTTTGACTTTTGTTTTATTTTTATCTCAATCTTTTTTGTATGTGGAAATATAAGTATTTTTTTATTTGATGAATTTTACGTTTGGGTTGGGGCAAGATCAGTTTTGGAACAATTTTTTGGGGTTGAGGATGGGATAAACAAGGAACATGTCCAGAAAATTGGCTGGGCCTCAGGCCAGAAGGCTTCCGTAGCTAGGTTGGGGATCCCTGTCCCACAACTGACGTGTTGCCATTCCACACCCAACCCGTTGCTGGACCTAATGTGGGGATTCTGCTCTACTCAGTACATACAATACTCTTAAGTGTCTCTCTATTCCCTATGTTGTCCATCTTTTTTAATCATAACACAATGTTCTCTTCAATCCTCCCTTACGGGTAATTGGCTGGGGATACTAAAAGCGTCGCCTTTATGTATCTAGTTAAGCTAACTGGGAAAGTATGAGTTTGTCTTTTAGTTGCTCTTTTGACCTGTCAGTTTACAGAATACTAGAATGTGTGATTCTACATAATATTTCAGGTTTTTGACTCTCTTGCGGAATGGTTTCATTTTGAGGAATCTGGAACTTCTAAGTAATAGTGTATTAAATTCTAGAACTCATTTTCCCTGGGCATTAGTTGCATGATTTGGGGCCATTCACGTAGAATTCATGTGCTTGATATTCATGTTAGATTGCCACTAGCGTTTAAGGTATTGGGAAATGGGCCAAATAATGCATGTCAAGCTCTCACACCCTCCTCTTGAACGTGGAGGGAAATACAAACAAAATAGAGTGTGCCATGACACAAATAGACTATGGTATAGCTAGGCAAATTGACTGGGGTGTAAGAGCAGACAGAGTGGCTTGAATCATAAATTTCCTATAATCAAAGCCTAGGAAGCACGGACACTCCAAAATGGGCGAAGAATCCGTGTCCGACACGTGTCGGACAAGGACACGCGTCGGACACACCCCGACACGTGTCGGACACGCCAAAAAACGTGTCTGGAATTTTTTTATTTTTTTTAATTTTCGGACACGGCTCGGACATGGCTCAGACAGCTCGGACACGGCTCGGACACACTTTCTGGAATTTTTTTTTTTTTTTTTTTAATTTTTAATGCTGATATGTTATTTTTTATTTTTATTTTTTTAATTTTTAATGCTGATATGTTCTATTTTTTGTTTTGTACTACCCTAAAGATGCTGATATATATATATACTAACCTAAAGATGCCACAATTCGCCGTGTCCGTGTCCTAAAGATGCTGATATATATATATACTAACATATCAGTGATATATATATATATTCCAACCTAAACATATCAGTGTTTTTTTTTTAAATTATTAATGCTGAGATATATATATATATATATATATATATATATATATATATATATATATATATATACTATTCGCCGTGTCCGTGTCCTAATTTTTTTGGATTTGCCGTGTCGCCGTGTCCGTATCATGTCGTATCCGTGTCCCGTATCCGTGTCCGTGCTTCTTAGATCAAAGCTTTAATACAACGTTAGACAGGTAACGTTGGGATTGGATTATATTATTTCTCCTTCAGACGATTGTCTGGTTTTTTTCTCACTAATTGTTTTAGGTGGATTCGCTGAAATTTTGGGTTTTTACTTCTACAACATATACTGTACTATTCATTCTGATTATCAGTCCATATTTTATAGGGGCAAATTTTTTGTTTTTTGTTTTCTTTTCGATTTCTAGATTTTGTTCTGTGTTCAGGCATCACTGATTGTATACATTTAATCTTGAAGTTGTCATTCTTTGTCAGCTTACAACTGACACTATAGACTGATGTGCATTATTTTGATATCATCATCTTCTTCTTTTCTTTTCATTTTCCTTAATAATGCTGTTTTTGACAACTGTTTCTGTTTTTATTTGTAGGTTGAACTTCTTGAAAGCATGGCAAGGCAATATTCATTTGATTGCTTTATCCTGAATGCAACAACTGTAGAAAACACCATGAATGAGATTGTTCAGGCTTGGGGTGACAATGGAAGGAGTTTTTTGCATGTCATTTCTAACAAAAATATAGACCTCTTTCTTAATATACAGAATCGTGGTTGGATGATTGTCATTCTAAGTAAGTACCATCACACCTTCTCCCCCATTCTATGAATTCCCTAAATTTCCACATATAATCTGAGCTTCTATAGCACATACCACACATGTCTCACTAATAAAGAAGGATGACCAACCATTTCTCGGTTGTGTTTTGTTGAAAGAAAAATAAAAGTTGAGAGAAATTAAAACATGAAGAACACAAGAATATACGTGGTTCAGCCACTAGAGCTTACATCCACGACACAAAGCCCAAAGGGCTACATCTCTTTCATTACATTCTCACTTAATTTTGTTTACAATAACCACCTCTACTTATAGGTGAATTGGGGAAGACTGGTAATAAAGGAATTACACAGAGAGTCAAATATAAATATGGCAACAACTTGTTGCCCAAGTATAGCAACATTAACATTCTATCAAGGAGTGATTTAAGGGCTTAAATCACTCCTATAATTATTCTCCAACATGTTTCAATGATCTTTTAGATCAGTTGGCTATATTCACGGTGTTACTTATCCTTGTTAGAATTTTTTGATCTCTTTTTATTGGAAGTGAAATTAATATAATTCCAGTTTCACTTCCAAAAAGGTGTTGGGCAATTCCAATTTTATGTTGAATTTTTACACTAGACCAGATAGTGTTAACCTCTCCTTGTGTTTGGATAACTAAGTAGCAGAAAGAAAGGAATGGATACTAGTAACCCTTAATCAAATTTTAGTTGATTATTTTAGTATCTGAGTGGTGAGCCCACAACAGGAATTGACTTGTCATAAACAATAGAGACAAAATGGATAATCAGTACCTACTCTTATTCTTTCATTCCAAATCCCTCCACTTTTGGGAGGATAGTCAAAACACTATTTAAGGGGGGTTCTCCTGCCTCTTATTCATCTCCTTACCCTCCTTATTTTCTAAACAAGCACAAGATAAGCTATCCCTCCTCTTTTCCTCCATTTTCCTCCAACTCCTACAATTTGAAGTTTCATGTGCTGCTAAATTGAATTGCTTTTCTTTCAGATGTTGACAGTGACATTGCAAGAGATAATTCAAGCATGCTTTATATCGACAAATTAGAGGAGCTGCCTCTGACTATTTGCCGCTTGAATAGAAAGGTAAGGGTGAGTATGATACCCTTAATTTTATAACTGTTCCCAGGGACAACTATGCTCCCTTTCTTATTTTTTCAATAAGCAAGGAGCTACCTTTACTCACTGTGATATGACATTTCTAGCTAAGGTCAAAAGTAAAAATGAGACATACTAAAGTTGAACACAAATTGAACACATCTGTGGCACCATCATTTCCTGGACTTTGGTAGTAATTATGATCTCCCATTCTATTATGGTCATATGTAGACATTGTTTTTAAGTGAATATCATAACAACATTACTCCCAGTAAGCTTATCCTCTTGTACATTTATATTTCTGAACCAACTCAAACTGGTTTTATGAAACTATCTTTGTTGATCATTTGGTAGTTACTTTCGCTGCGAGACTTTTTATCAATAGCAACCACACCGAAGATCTGATGTAAGTTATGTAACAGTTTAATTATATATTGGAGATATACAGTAAACTTTTTCTTTTTCTGAATGGATTTTAGACAATTCTTATTAGATTGGCATCTAAAATATGTCATGCTCTAGTTCATGTTGTTGAAGTAGAGAACCTTGCTAAATGTTTATGAAAAGGTAGTGGATCGAACAATTTCCATTGATCCATTCAAACTTTAGTAGCTGTCTTGCCTTCAGAAGCTGAAACTATCTGACTGTGGGTTTTCCAACAGCTTTGGGGTTTCGTGTAGAATTTGAAATTTTGAACTCTGTGGCCCATGCTTACAATTTCTTTATCACAATCTTAATTATATCCATAATTTTCTACTTTTAGTGATGTTGGTTTTCATAAAATCAGCGACTCAGTCCCTTTGAAACATCTCGAATTGGCATCATACATATATGTGTCTGTGTCTTAGTTTAGATTACATTCAATTACCTTCTATTGCTAAATGTAAACCAACATCACTAAAAGTAGTATATGATAAGGTCATGTGTTGTTTTATAATGTGTTTGTGTTCTTTTATTAGTTAGGTTTGCTAGGCTTTTCTTCACCATCTATACATTGTTAAATACAATATTTAAGGGTTCTAATCAGAAAATATTCACTTAAATAGAGTCCTTTTGGGAAAATTTCGTATTTTTGAACTGCCTTAGCATTTTTATGATCAAAATTTCAATGTTGATATATTTAATTAATGACTTCCTTTTTCTTTTTTCTTCTTTTTCATTTCTGATTAATTTATTGTAAACAGGCATCAAGCAATGATATAGTGACAGTTGGCTATGTTATGAAGCCTTCTCGCGAAGAAGATTTTGCAAAGGTGAGCCATCTATGAAAAAGTAATCATAATAACACTACAGTCCAAAAAAGGGAAGAAAAAAAAAATGACAAGGAAAAAACATTGACGGTATTTGGGCAAAAAATGTTGTTACCGTATGCACACCCATTAGCAATATAAACTCGTGATGATCCTCGTATAAAAGGTTCATGTATGACTCATTTTTTGTCCGAGTTTGAATATATCTATGACAGTTACTTGATGGTTGATAAATTCTGTTCTTATTTTCATTTGATCTGATAGTGATATATTATATAATTCCATTATTTTGATCTAGCTGAGTTTGGCCCCTTTGAAAGCTTATGACCTTGCACTGCCGTCTTTTATAACTCAACCCATTTACAGATTATAGTGTTTGCGTTCTTTTACATTATAATTTTAAATAGATGTAAAAGCTACTAAAGTTGCCATTTTTGTTTTGGCAGAGAGGTGCATTCCCCTTGTATCCTACTCAAAATGGATTAATATTTATGCCGCTTACATTTGAGCTCACTATGTCATCTCAGTTACAAGAAGTTGACATAGTTCTCCACAAAGCAACTGACGAAATTGTCTCCGTTGAAATGAGCAATTCTTCAGAATTCATTAACAAGGTCACTTACACCAGGGGCATGCAGGAATTGGCAAGGTAACTCCGAATTCTATAAAGTTGTTGCTTCATGATAGTGACAAAGAGATAATAGAAAAGAATAAACAAATCCAACTTTTTACCTTTTACCATTGCTGCCATTTGTAACTCGCTGTGACATTCTATAAAAGATCAAATGTAGAGTGAGTTGTCTTTCAGATATGCCATTGCATGGACGGCATCTTGGTTTTGATTCATTAGGAAAAATGAAATATAACATCTCCTTTAAGCACGGTTTGGAAGTTAACAAGAAATGAATGCCTCTCTTTATAGGATGTAACACAGTCATATTAATAATAGTTTTAATGTAATAGGATTTGATGTGAGATCCTATGCTTTTGGTCTTGTTTAAACACCAATTCAGTCAAATGAGTTCTCACAGTTTGTTGCTGCAGTACAAAGCCCCAAGAAGCTTTAGATTTGAGAGAGGAATTAAGTGAGGAGTTTGTAACATACCAGTGTCATCCCTTTGTGCTTTGTAGATCAGCTCAATATCATTATATAATCTCATATACGAAAAAGGGAAGCAATTTGTAAATTCAATGCTTTAGCCAATAAAAATTTAGAAATTGACAGTAGACTATTCATCTTGTTTGCTTCACTTAGAAGAAAAGAATAGGAGATTCTTTGAAAATAGTTGCAAGAATATTGATCATATCATGGATGTAAGGTGGAGCGATTATAGGAATTTTTTCCCCCCTAATTGGTAATCACCCCCCCCCCCCCCCCCCCCTCTCTCTCTCTCTCCCTCTCTCCAAGGAATTGTTCGCACCCAAGAGGAGTCGAACCTTAGACCTGATGCGATTATAGGATTCAACAAGTAAAAAGTTCAAAAACATCACTCTTTTTATTTTACCAACTTTTCTCAACAATAACTAGGGGTTAATGCATGATACAAGGGGGGAAGCTCCGGCTGCGAAGCTTAAGAATGCAGGTTTAAGTGTAAGGGCAACCACATTGTGCAAGGGACCTTATTGGGTCATGGTCTTTTTTAGCGTTCTTTAATAAACTACCAGATACTTCTTTCCCTTGTTTGTTCTAATAAGTAACAAATTTTAGCATCTTATTCTTCAGAAACTAAGGAAAGAAGGATCCCAGTGTGCATATTGACTGAGTAACCAGACCCCAATGTATGTGAAAGAAAATAACAATTCTCCGGGGTTGACATAAGAATCTGTCGAGATGATTAGGCTAACACAGACAATTTAAGCATCTTATTCTTCAACTTTGGAACAAGTTATCCCCACAAGCATTTCCGCAATGCTTTTAACATATAATCCCAAATCAGAATACTGCAAAGAAAATGGGTATCTTGTCAGTCCACAACCCCCTCTAAAACAATTTCCCGATCGTGCACAAGGTAGCTGCTCTAAGACAAACTCGTAGCATCACGCTCTTCAGCCCGAGCCTTTACCAATGCACCGAGCAATGGCCATTCCTTTTTTATATACTTGCCGCATAGAAACCTTTCACATCTCAATACAAACATTCAAAAACGGAATAAGTTCGATAAACCTTTATCAACTATATAGACCCAGTGGAAAAAGATGTTCATTTCTCCTCACATTCGTACTTTTCAATTATTCATAAGCCTAAACTAAAAATTACGTTTTTGTACAACAATAATAATAAATTGAAGCAAAAGCCATCTGAAATCAGTGGAGGAAAATCTTTCAGTAATTGATGTTGTTTCCTATTATTGAAGATTTGGTGTTACTAGAGGAATCAGTGGAGAAAAATCCTCCTTGTTTCCTATTTTCTAATTCTTTCCATTCTCATAATTTCTTCTCCTATATAAAGGAGCCTCCACCATGTATTGTATATGAATTGAAAGAGTATTATAAAAGTGATGTAGCCCTTTGGGCTCTTTGTGCCGTGGATGTAGGCCCTAGTGGTTGAACCACGTAATATCTGTGTATTTTTCTTGTTTAATTTCTCTTCGCTTCCGTTTTATGCTTTTCAACATGGTATTAGAGCCTAATTTCTCTTCCTAGGTTCGGACCCCTATTTTGGGGTATTCCCTTAGCATCTGAAATGTTGCTAAGGGTTTCTCGGTGCTATTTGTGACTTGTTTGGGATGCCGGTTTGTTCGGCAGTAATGTTCTTCACCTTTGTCGTGTTTCCGGTAGTTTTTATCAACTTGTTTGGGCCGTCGGTGTGTTCGATAGTATTGTCCTCGACTTTGTGGTGTCTCCGGCAGTTTTTTGTTGCCTTGTTTGGGTTATCGGTGTGTTCGGCAGCATTGTCTTTGTCTTTGCCATGTCTCCGGTAGTTTTTATCGACTTGTTTGGGCTACCGGTTTGCTCAATAGCATTGTTCTCACCTTTGCCGTATCTCCGACAATTTTTTGTTGACTTGTTTGGGCTGTCCGTGTGTTCAGTAGCATTGTTCTTCGTATTCTCTCTTTATCATTCACACTTGTTGTTAATCGTCATCTCAATAGCAAGTTGGGCATTCATGCTCCAACTTGAGGGAGAGTATTGAAGATTTAATAGAGAAATCAGTGAAGGAAAATCTTTCAGTAATTGATGTTGTTTCCTATTATTGAAGATTTGGTGTTACTAGAGGAATCAGTGGAGAAAAATCCTCCTTGTTTCCTATTTTCTAAGTCTTTCCATTCTCATAATTTTTTCTTTTATATAAAGGAGCCTCCACCATTGTATATATGAATTAAGAGAGTATTATAAGAGTGATGTAGCCCTTTGGGCTCTTTGTGCCGTGGATGTAGGCCCTAGTGACTAAACCACGTAATATCTGTGTATTTTTCTCGTTTAATTTCTCTTTGCTTCTGTTTTATGCTTTTCAACATCCTGTAAAATCGCAATATACAGAATATAAAAATATTTGAACAATAAGCTACCATATGCCTATATGATAAATTTATAGATTGGTCAAGAAATTTACATACACTTAAAAACACAGAGATATATCCATTTATGCATACACACACATTATATATAACAAAAACAAAAATTCAACACTGTATTGTCCATTTTTATTATTTTAAGAAAAATCAATTAACAAAACGAGCATACAAACAATTTATATATTATATGAAACTAAACATTCCTCGTGTCAGTTTTTCTTGAGCTTTTCTTCTTCTTCTATTTTTTTTTTAAATAATTATTTAGCAAACTCATATTGATAAATTTTCATCAGTTTTGGTGTGCTCCAATAACTTTCAAAGAAAAAATGACATAATTTTTATGTGATACACTGATCGTGTTACCAGGTGTCTAAAATGTCTTATAAATCTTAGGGTTGGATTGGACCATTCTGTTCGGGGAGGCCTTGTAGTTGTATTTTGAACAGTCTGGTATTGTATAACAAAGATACCCCTTTTTTATTTTCTTCCAATTGTTATTTATAGTCAGACGCCTCCTGGCTTTGTTAAAGACAACATCCATGTCACTTGACATTTGTATCAGACACTACTGAATTACAGTTCCATTGTTTGGCGACTCGTTGTTGCAAACACACGTCTTGGACACAGCATCAATATCTTTGTCCATGTTAAGTATGTGATGTGCGTCTCTTGCACTGTTGTGATATGTACTGTTATCATTGTATTCTGCTCTTTTAATTTCTCTTCCTTTCCATTAAGATTTTTAATTTTTTTTTTGGCAACAACACACTCACACACAAAGGTAATAATAATAATTTGCCAAAGAGGTACTTCAAATATCAGTGTAGTGTCATACAAAAAAACCATTTGGATAGAAGTATAAGGGAAGAATGTTCTCACATTGTGTTTGAACTTTGAATCCAAACAGTTGTCCATTACAAAGAATAAACTATCTAAGATGAACTAAAATCTTATCTGGTATGTTCTTCTTGCACAGGTTTATTGAACACCAGCCAAATTTCTGTGTGATCGACCCACTAAATAACATTTACCCTGTACTAGATCGGTTGAAGATCCAACAGATTCTTCTTGGTCTGGAAACTCTCAAGAGGGAAGGTCGCTGTGAAGTCAGGCCCCCCAATTTTCTCAAGGTCTTTTCGCCAGAATGGTATCTATTTGTACATATATTAACTTCACAAATTAATGGAACCAACTCAGATAATTTACAGGCTATATTTGTTGTTCTTATTTATTTGGTAGTCTTTTTATGTTTATGTTCACTGATTAACAGCTATGCTATTAACTTAGCCTACACTACTCATGGTTGCTAAAACTAGCGCCTTATATTGTATCCCAGTAGCATCAGTGAACCAAGAAAAAACTGTACTTTTATGTAGTTGCTCCTCCTAATTTTTTTCATCAACATTACGTACGAAGTCCCGCTGGGGAGGGGGGGATCCTTCCAAATTTCTGGTTGCATAGGGTCATGTGAGACTTAGGGATGCTCCATTTGGATGCCCATAGAGTGCAATTTCAGCAACGGGATGGTAAGAAATGTGTTTTCCTAGTCCTTTCTGAATGATATGATTAAGCACCACTGATAATCTAGCCTATTAGAGAGTTGAACCTCAAGAAATCAAGCCCCACCAAAAGAAACAATGCAAACCATAATGTAGCTATCTCGCTGGTCATGAACAAGTGGTCAATGATTTTTAACTCAATTTCAATTAAAAGCATATTTCTGGTTCAAGAGCCTCTTTTGTTGGGACAATGTTGACCAATCTCCAGAGGAAAACTTGAAAGTTAAAAGGAATTTGAGAATTTTATCCGAAGCACCAAAGGTGGTTATCTTCAGAATCAATTTTGTAGTTAACATGTATTTCATTGTGACAGACGTCACAGACCATTCCTGGAGATACAGAGTACCCTTACCAAAGACATACATAAAGATGCCAAAAAGGGTAAGATGGAAGACCTTTTTCGGGAGAGGGAAAGCACAAACACAGTTAGTTACAGTGGGAGGACAAATCTTAATCACTAATCCCCATTGCACCCCTATTTTGCCGATTGATAGGTTCAGCGTTCAGATGGTTATTGACACCAATATGAGGTCTTGGAATTGATAATTGTGGATTTGGAATCCAAGGGGTCTCTCATACTTCCATATGATCTCCAGAAACGGTACTTCAAAAGGCAACTCCTTCGCATAGATAATCCTCTTCCAGTCCCAGGGAAGCAGATTCAGGCAGTCCCACTTCTAAAAAGTCCTTAATCTTTGTAATTATTTTTCAGGAAAACTTGGCTCATGAATCGTGACAGGGTTAACTGTCTGGACAATTAGTTCACCTAATCGGAACTATACTCAGAAATTTTTTATTTTAACTGCATGGTCTTTACGCTTTTTAGTGAAATCAGAGATTTTTCTTCTTCTTCTTGTTCTTTCTTTTGTGGGCGGTTTGGAATTTTTAGGTGGTTGGTTTTGAGTTTTGTCATCTGCCCTTCCTCATCATACACATGGGTCTGACTAAACTATTTAAGTGGTGAAAAGTTCCATTTCTAGTTGAGAAGTTTCTATACTGGACAGTTCACTCACATCAACAAGGGAAAGCCTCCCTCTGCAGAAGTGGATAGATTGTTGCTGCTATTTTTTTTTCTGCATTAAATTAATGATAATGCTTTTCTCATTCAGTGAATCATACAGGTTCAGTTGGAAATCGTATTACTTGGGTACTTTACTTGCTGATGGTTAATAACAATTTTGTCCACCCCTATTTATGGTTTAATTGCGTATAAGCTACTATTTTACCTCAGATCTAGTTACCTTGGGAGCCTTAATGTGCAGGTCGATAATTTCAATGAGCCCAATTTGGTACAAAGGTTATCAGAAGCTAAACTGTCTCTTCCATGTATAGTGAAACCTCAAGTCGCTTGTGGTGTAGCTGATGCTCACAGTATGGTAATAAATATATTTAGTTTCATTGAGTTTTCATTTCAAGTATTAGAAACCTGAATTTTAATGTTATTGTTGATTGAACTAGCTGAATAACTTGCACTGATGCTTTATTTTCTTTGGTTATATATATTGCTTTATATCTTAATAAAATCATCAAATTTTTGTCTGCTTGCTGAACCATCATTCGGGAGGAATTCTTAAATATGCAAGATTCATGCACTTGGATGAATGATTTGCTTAAGGCCTCAAGTAGATGAATGTCAGTCACTTATCGAAAAAAAAAGGTAGATGAATGTAAGATACTTAAGATGGTTGCACTTTTACTGTAGATATAATTACTGCTTCATATTCCCATCATGATAAATTTTGTCAAATACATAACCTAGCTCTTGGCCACCACTTGTCCTCTTCTTGATTTGAGGTATCTATTTCAAACAGCTAAACTATAGGTATCTAAATGAGCAGTCTTGAGTTACTTGCATACACCACAAGCAACTTTGGCATAGTTTCTTGTCTATAAAATTAAGAATGTCTTAAATTTTTATTATAATTTAAATATATAAGACAGGCTTAACAGCTCTCATATGGTATTTCAGTAAAATAAAACTTAGATATTCTATGGTGTTGAATGGATCTTAAACTATCATGAGGTATTTTTCTGTCTGTCAATCTATAGGAAAATTTTACATCCCTAGAGCTATGAAGTTGTGGCTTCCAATATGGAAAGGAAGTGGGGAACTGGGGTGGGGAGACATCTTCAGAATTGTTGTTGTGTAATGAAAATGCCTGTCCTTCTTGATCATTCAAGATTTCATATGTCAAACAATAATTTTTATCCTTAGGTCCAAATACCTTGGAACTTTGTCATGTTATAAGGTTCACCAATGAAGGAGGAAAATCCTAGTTCCTATAAAAAGGCAAGGAGAGCTTCTTGAAATTTAATGCACTTTTATAAAATATATATGTAAAGACATTTTCTGAAAACTTATTGGTTCAGCTATCAGATTCAATTTTTACTCCTTTCCTGACCAATCAGCGCTACTTTCAATGTATGAATATGTGCATTTCTATATTTTCATTGTCTTCTCACACATTTATCTAAACATTCACATTTCTGCTACATTTACTTCATGAACAAGTTGTTTTCTTGGTTGCCTAGCATTTTATGCCATTAAGCATGGCTCGTCTTACAGGAAGCAAGAAATTGAACAGTTATCAAGCAATGGTTTCACAAATCATATCTGAAATTTATTCCCTGAAATTTCATGTAATGGACATTGCAAGAGTATAGACCCCTCGATCAGAAAATGAAAAATGAAAAATGAAAAATGAAAAAGAAAAGATAATTCTTTAACATCCCTAAGAAGATAGCTTTTTGTACATAAAAGATCCAAAAAACCTGTAAAATTGAACTTAGACTTAATTGCATTGTACTAGGACCCAAAACTCAAAATGATAAAATTACACCTAATCACAAATTTATTATTGAAGCGCCTCATAACGCTACTTTGACTGTAATGTGCCCTTTATGATTAAAATAGAATAAATTACTTACCATTACTTACTATTACATATACTTATTTGTTTTTCAATCATATTCCTTTTATTTTCAGAGTTACATGTATATCATAGTGCTCTAGAACCCTTCTCCACTTAAGCTAACTTATCTTAATTTTACAAGCAACATTCTCTCTGGTATTTCTTTCTCCATTATATAATCTAACCTAAATGAAAAATATTCACTCTTTGATTTCTCTTGGACATCAGCCTTCAGTACTTCCCTCTTTTCAATCTAGTATTGCTAAACGTGAAATTTAAAATATTCTGTTTTAGTCCTACTTATCTTAAACCTCTTGATTCTAAACCATCCCTTTTTCAATGTTATTATATTTAAAATTTATTCCCTAAAAACCTTGTCTATTGGACATTGCAAGTGTGTAGACCCCAATGACAAAAGGAAAAATAAGAAAAGGACAAGATAATTCTTTAACATCATAAAGAAGATACCTTTGTGTATATAAAATACCCAAAAGATCCTACAACAACGAACTTAGACTAGATTGCATTGTACCAGGACCCACAACTCAAAATGATAAAATTACCTAATTCAGAATTTTTTTTATGTCACATTACGGAAATGTTTGCACATTTTTGTTTTTAGGATGTCTGAGGAGTGTGTTGTTGAGCATGGAGTCACACACTCTACGTGCTTGAATCTTAAGTTTCATCTTTGAACAATAATTCTAGTTTAGCATACTGGGCTATAATGATCTAAGTTTCTCAATTTATTTGTCATTCTTTTTTAATAAGTTTTGTCTGTTTACTGTAATTGACAGGCAATTGTCTTTGGAGTTGAAAATTTCGAGGGTTTGAACGTTCCTCTTCCAGCAGTTGTGCAGGTAAGCCACAAATTGTTTATATTATGACGACTTTAGTCTGATCAAGCTGATCCATTCTAGCCTGGTAATTGGTGGGCGAATCACTAATCATAAATTCAATAGTTCTGGTGGTTGGCGAGTATTTCACTAATTACATGGTCGCATTCAGGGACGGGGATTCTCTGAATGACCCATCATCCAAGACTTTCATTCACCATAGTTGTTTTATCATGGATTAAGGTTTTAACTTTTTCTTTTTAGTTTTATGAAATTGTCCGCTGGTGATTTTGCTTGTGAGTACTCTCTTCTAGACCTGAACAAGTTGATGAGTTGACATGCAGACTCAGCTAGCATCTATGCTACCAACCATTTCCATCACTTGGGCTCACAGCTCACGTAGGCAGAGAGTGTGTTTGTAGATTAATTTGGTGCTATTTTGGCATTGTGGTTTGTTTGCAAAGTTTTTATTTGCAAGAACCTGATGATCTAGTATATGACAATGCCAATAATAGTAGTTAACAAAAAACATCTCAAACACAAAATACCCTGGAGGATTAGAGTACTCATTTTACCAAAACTAAACCTATTCTCACAGGGTTCTAGACTGGTCTCTTAATTTGAAGGCTGTTTTTATTATAGTGAATGCTACTAATGGCGATTATTCAAGCTTTATAGTGGAGTTCAGAATTTTCAATGGACCTTAATTACATGTATATATGTAGAAGAGAAATTTTTTGTTCTTTATTTATCTTGTTCTGTTGGAGATATTCCCCTATTAACTCTCTTATAATTCCCATGTTCCAATTCTCCATGCTTCTTAAAGTGGCATAATAGACTTCTGTCAATGGTAAGGTCATGAAACAAAGTTGCAATTTGTTAGAATAGCTGTCAATGACTCAATGTCATCTGCTTATGTGGCCTAATTTTTTGTGTACAAGGGATTACTTTTCCAGTAACTGTCATGAGTTTCTTATCTGGAATGATATATTAAAGTAACTGGAACTGCAGGAATATGTGGATCATTCATCTTCTCTGTTCAAATTCTATGTATTGGGTGAGAAAGTTTTTTATGCGGTTAAGAAGTCTACCCCTAATGCAGATATTTTGGCAAAATTATCTGAAAGAAATGGACCCAAGCCCTTACACTTCGACAGGTACACATGTTCACTTTTTCTATTCTATTTTTTTTTATTTATAAATTTAATAGTATGGAGCATGCCTTGGCAACCTGTAACCACATGGTTTCTTCTTCTTTTTCCTTGTTTTTTTTTTTTTTTTTTTAATATATTGTTTTTTTGGTCCCCACAGCTTAAAGTCTCTACCTACTGGTGCTGAAAATCCACATTTTGGAGATGGGGATTTCCACAAAGTCAATGATCAGCGACTCGATGTTGGGCTAGTGACTGATGCTGCAAGTTGGCTTAGGAGAATGCTCAACCTTACCATCTTCGGCTTTGATGTTGTTGTAAGTACCCAGTCATTTTCTTTAATTAACTATTTATGGCAGTTTGCAGTTTAGCATAGCATGATCTCTGTGTACTTTATAAAAATGATTGCATCGAGATGAAAGAAGTACAAAATGTACATGAACGTGAATTTTAGAGAATAAGAAAACAAAAGAAAACTGACCTAATTTTAGAGAATAAGAAAACAAAAGAAAACTGACCAAAAACCTTCAGCAGCAACAATGTACTTCTAGATTGAGATGCACATAATCTTCATCCACTCTATGTGTGGACAATCAGTGCAACCTCTAGACACCAATGTCCACTATGATGGCATCTTGCCGAAATTCTTCTACTCCTTTCCTCCCACCCCATTCTAGTTAAGAGCAAAAGTGATCATCCTCATGAGTTTTGAGCGCAATAAAGACTGAACCTGTACTTTTGTGAAATTAATAGCTCTTAAACAAACCTGGGTCTACACTATATTTCAAACTTGATCAGGTAGTAAAACCAAAAGTTGAGGCTGAAGAACAATGGTCTTATATAAAATTAAGACTACGGAGTACCTTTATATTATATATAATTCATCTATTTGGAACCACTTGTGTTTTATGAAGTTAGGTGATGAATTATTAGGTTTTTATCCCAGGCTACTTCCCTAACTTAAAAAGCCACCTTGTATGGGATGGAAATCTTATAGATGTAAGATTTGGTGGAAATTCCTCTCATTCAATACCCACTAAGCAATTAACAGTGCACTTAAACGAAAAAGCGGTTTGATCATGACAGGATTTACACCTTCCTATCTAGAGTTGGCCAGGCCTACATGGAATCCTATAAAGCATTCTTAAAAACTCCTTCACAAATTTAATTTCCCACTCCTGTTAAGTTCTTATGGTACAGAGCATTATACAGAACCAAAAGGTAATAATGATGCAAGAAAAGTTCAGAGCATCTCTTTATACATATATTAGTAAAATCTTTGTCAGGATATTGAGTCAGAGATTGTCTTTGCCAAAGTGAAGTCAATTATTACATACAAAAATTGTGTACCTTTTGTGATCAATTTCATGAAGAAGAATCCCAAAACCTCAGTGATGGTACCCAACTGTGAACTTTAAGAATGCATGCAAAATCACTATTAGTGTGTTGAGTTACTCAAATGTGTGACATGTGTCTCCTACATATCCCTTGCTTTAAGCCAGAGTCAAAACCGATTTAACCCTTTGTCAGACATGGAATTAAATTTGATTTGTCCTTTCATGTCATGTTCTAATTTTGTAGTGGATAGGAAAAAACATGGAGCATGGATAATACAACATGCACAGACATATTCTATATACATATATATATACATATATAATAGTAGGACAATGAGAGAAGTATCTGGGGTTTTTATTTTATTTTTGTTTTCCTCTTAACGTTCTTTCTCATTGGTTTCCCCCCGATATCGTTATGTGGAACTTCAGATTCAGGAGCGCACTGGGGACCATGTAATTGTGGACGTAAACTACCTCCCATCATTCAAGGAAGTGCCTGATAATGATGCGATACCTGCCTTTTGGGAAGCCATTAAGAGGAAGTTTGAATTGACAGAGACTAAACAAACAACGATAGCCTCCTCTTAACTCATCGTTTTGCCGGAAACTGAACCTACAGCTGATCAGAACAACAAGAAGAAGAGAGAGAGAGAGAGATCTCCGTTAAGAAGTACATGTTTGTTTCCTCTGGAACAGATATCTGAGTTCCCGATAACACATTATATTTGAGGATGAATTGCCTTTCAGTCTCTAGTTCATTTGGATTTCTTCAGAAATGCACTATACTACCTTGATATTTGAAATTTTGACAGTGCTTGCAACTTTGAACAGTGTTTATCTTCTTACCTGATATTCTAAGTAGCAACCGGTAATCATAATTTTGGAGGATGACATGGTTTGACTTTATAGGTTTATAGATTGTTTGGGTAATGCTGACATGGCATGATTTTTTTAGTGTTAGAGAATCTAGACTTGCAGAGAAATTTACCGTTCATTGAACCTCAGTGTAAAAATCCGCCATGGAGGAGCTAAACTCAATTGACCTGTAAGAGAGGTTCTACATTCACACACAATGGCATTCTGTTCATAAAATGTCCTCAAATTTGCTCCAATTTTGCCAAAAAGATACTTAGTACTTCTAGGAAATTAAAAGTTTCTGTATTTTATCCAATATTTTGAACCTTACCTACAATTTGTGTCAGAATATTTGATTTTTTGCACATGCTGATACACATTGTATAAATAGAGAGGTCATCCAACTTCTCTCTGTGTTATTGCCTTCCAAATTAGAAGGTTAAGGCCCTGTTAGGTACGTGTTTTGTTTTTGGTATTTTTGTTTTTTATCGGGTACTATAACAGTGAATCATAAAAAAAAAAAGCATGTTTAGTAAAAAAAAATTTGTTTTGCATATTCGTGAATAGTGACAAAAAATCAAAACATTAATTTGGTGTTTTTACATGATTCAACTCTATAGGCAGAGATGAACGGTAAAAATAAATTTTTTTTTTAGCCAAAAAAAAAAATACTTTTAAATGACATTTTTAAGCACTTTTTAATAAACATGCTTTTATGTTTTTGTTTCAAAAAATATTACAATAAATGGACGTTACTAAACATGTTTCCGAGTACTAGTCAAATCACTATATAACAAAATACTTGTTTTGCTTTGGGTTAAAACAAAACGTAAAAAACAAAACGCAAACCAAACGTGACCTAAAGTTTCAAGTCGGATTACGGGTTGAAGTTGGACAAGTGGATGCTTGAATATGTCTCTTTGAGGTAAAGGTTGGTGCATTTAGTCATCATTAATCTTGTCAAACAAGGTAGAAATGGAACTCTGATGGCAATAGAAATATTTAGTTTGTAATCTGATCAATGAATTAAAAGGGAATATAAAGCTTTCCCATATCTCCCTTTTCAACTCTCTTTCCCAAAGAAATAGCCTTGATCAACTCTGGAAAGTTTTGATCTCAACTATGTATTAGAACTATTTACGAAGGATTAGGTTTGAATATTACTAATTCAGATTAATCCACGTTACATGGCCGGCTCCCAAACTGATACGAATAAAAATTGTTTGGCAGAAAATTATTACGAAGTATTATTTTTTCATTCAGAAAATATCCAAACGCGCCATAATTCACCAAAAAAAAAATATCCCTAAACAATCTTCTCAAGAAGCGTGTACAATAATGATTTGAGACGATTGTTGAGAATGACTCATTTCTTCATATTCTTTTGTCTTTAAAAGTGACGAAAAAGTGATAATAATTTTTAAAAAATATCTTCATATAAGATTTGTCCAAACCTCAATAGTGTATCCTCAAAATTTTACTAGTACAACATATGACTCCTTTATTTATTCTCTGCCATTTTCCTTATATATTAAAAATATATATATATTGATGGATGGTGTGAAAAATAATACCTTAGTTACCTTTCAATAATAGCTTGCCCATAGTCCAAGTGGTTAGTACTCATTGGTGTCAAGTGGCTCAGATAGGTCTTCCAAAAATTATTTATTTTTATTCAATAATAATAATAAGGTAATCAAGTAAAATTAAGGATGGAAATGGATAGCCAATTATTAATAAAGTCATATATATATATACACATACGTATATTTCATGGACCATAAGAATCCAAGTGACTGGCCTTAGTCAAACCATTTCTCTTCTTCTAATTTATCGCACGATAAAATAATATTTCACAAATATTCCATTATTAACTTACAGTGTTGTACGTTCAAGAATTGGCACTCACGGACATGGATAATTTTTATCTTGTTTACGATAATGAGAATAAAAAATAAAATAAATTATATTGAATTTTTTTTTTTTTTTATAAAGTTTGAACAAATTACACATAGGTAGAGCGTTTGGCCTTTAGTACTTTGATTTCTTATGATATTTGACGCGTTTGTTTAACGACACCCCCTGTTATTAATAAATTTTTAAAATGACGAAGTTGTCATTTCCTATATTAAAAGACCTCAATAACTTTATATTTTGATATGAAATGATAAAAATACCATGAAATGCCATTGAAATTGCAAAATATGAATATTCATACCAATTTCATATTATTAATTTTACAAAAATATATGTGTGTGTGTGTGTGTGTATATATTGTTAATGGCATTTGACTATGTTTTTTTTAGGGGTTGATTAGGTTTTTGATTTTTTTTAAAAAAATAAAATAAAATAGTAGTAATTAGGTAGACTAATATGGTATTTACAAGAAGGGGGATAAAAGGGTAATATGGTCTTTTGGTTTGACAATTTTTTTTTATTAAGCTATTATTAAATTGGATAAGAGTATGAAAGACATTTTACATTTTAGAAAAAAATTAAAGTAATAAAGGCCAAACATTCTATCTATATGTAATTTGCTCAAATATCAGAGAAAGTGTACTTTACTGTTTGAGTAATGATACTTGCACCGATTTGTTGCAGTAAATTACCAAACCGAATGTTTCTGATTGATTATTTATGTACAATACATGTAAGTGGATGGCTCACTCCTTCATAATTACTCTGGTAAAAAATCACGTTATCTGCCAACTGGACTGCCATATCATTCTTCCTAACAATTCGGTGGTGTAAATATTATTTCCCTTATTGTTTATACTCACTATACCCCACTGAAAGAAAATTATGAGAAAAAATTATGAAAAGAAAATTAATAAAAATTTAATAATTTACCCTAAAAAAAGTAATACCTTGATTTTGACTCGGGTCCAAAAAGTTAATACTCTAACATCCAATAAATAACTTATTTGGCTTTAATATTCCCACCAAATTACCAATTCATGATACTTGTATTCAAAGTCCAATGACATCATGCAATTGATTTGAGGGTAACAATTATCTATCCAAGTATATATAAAGTTGTGATTTTTCAGTTTATTTCATAAATAATTTTTGTATTTATTTATATCAATGGGAGCTGAAAACGGAGAGGATTTTGTTCTCGCGGGCTGCAGCACATACGCATATATGCACAAATAGGCATATCCAAACCACATAGGCAATCACGTGTCTATTGGAAACCGATATGACTACGGGAAAACAATTTAATACATGAATATCTCGGAACCATCATTTTTTTTCTTACGGGAAGGTCTACAATTCTTTGGATACTGAAAATTTTAATCATTTTTACTTAATTAATGATCCAACGAGTGAAAAATTTCAAAAGTACAGTATCCCGAGTATTATAGACTTTCTCATTTCTTACTCTCAAAAAATTACACATACAAACATTCTCATTTATACCAATTACATCAAATTGAACAATAGTCAATAATTATAGTACTTTCTATCCTAACTTCAACAAGAATTCTTAAATTATCATTTTGTCAAACATTACATAGGCATTCAATTACAAGCATGCTTTCATTATAACATATATTCATGTATTAAGACGTAAAATTATCCAAACCACACTACAGTACCAACATGTAAATAATATATGCACAAATAAGAAAGTTAGTATACTCTAAGTCACACAATTCTTTTTAACGGGTACCGCTCCCACACTCTGAGCATACTTTCGCTCTCATGTTCCGCGCGCACTCTTACTCATTTTTTCACTATTTGTAACTTAATTTTGCCTTTTTCGTGCTCCCGCTATCGAATTCGCTCTTACTCCCGTTTCATGTGACTTAAAATACACCCCTTCGAAACTATCAAAATTCAAGGACTGTAGAAGAGTAGAGAAGATTGAGATGATGCAAGAGATGAGAAACATCTGTAAAAATAATTTTAAAAGTGAACTATTATTTTCTATACCAATATAAATATTTAGTACCTTTTGTGACTATAAATATTTTCCATACCATTAATTGTATTTAATTTTTTTTGCATTTTCTATGTACCATGTTCCATTGCCATCATTACCCCCACTAAATATTTGCATTTTAGGAGCATTAGTTGATCAGTAAATCATGTATAGTTGTATACATGTGGTGTGACGGTTCTATCCAAGTGGTAAATGGTCAGGTTTTTAGTGTTCCCACCTATAGGTCCAGAGTTTGATTCCCCTCCAATCTAAATTCATATCATTAATCAATTAATTGCTTCCCTGAGAAACACCGTGTTTATCATGAAATTACTGAATAAGCCCCCTAAAATTCCTAAAATAAACGAAAGAGAAGTTTCTTACAAGATAATTAAGGTTTCTATTAATGGCCTTCTATAAATTTTTTTTTTTTTTTTTGGTATTGTTGAACGCTTAAATTAGGGTTTTCTATTTGGGTCTGGTATTATTCAAATGGTAACAACCGATTATTAAACGATACAAACCATACAAAAAAAAATGACTACCAAACAAGCCTTGTGATCTCGTGGTCCATTGTTGAAATATTCTAGAATCCTTCAAATAATAGACTATACAATGCTAAAAAATTCTAGAGCAATTTATATACATTTATACAAGTTTAGACAACTTCATACTATTCTCGAGACTTCCGTTTATATAAACAAGTTTAAAAAGTCTTAGTTTATGTAGGCTGCCATGTCATATTTGTTGTACGGCTGAGGGGGCCAAAGTAAACACCCGGATTTTGGTTTGTCATTATGACAATTGATATTGTGAAAGTTATGTTTGGCAAACATTCAAAAACAAAGTAGGTTTTTTTTCTCCTGAGGCCCATGATTCATAGAAGTGTAGTGGATCGAAGTGAATTATTGCATCAGACGGCTAATGATTCAATTATTCTAGATAATCCATTTCACTACTTGGTTGCAACATCGTTTTCATATATTAAATTGTTGGACTTTTGAGCTAGGTGTTCGTATACATTACAATTAATTACAATTAGTTTCTAATTAAGACATTCGATTATACCTAGTTTATCGAAAAATCAACTTCATTATACTTTTGATTTTACTTTTTAGGAGTTAACAATGCAAAGGGAACCTCTTCT